TATAATTCTAATATACAATTAATCAGTGGAACAGCTTGTCTCCAGAAGCTGTGAATGTTCCAACACTGGATGTCTTTAAGATGTTGGATAGCCATTTGTCTGAAATGTCTTAGTTTCCTGCCTAGGCAGGGGGTTGGACTAGAAGACCTCCACATGCAGTTCATAGCCATCAAAGATTATATTGTATATTAGAATTATACGCTTGTAGTGAATTTTGATCATTTCTTCTCCTCTCTGCTGTTCTAGTAAAGCTATGAAATTTTCATTTCCACTAATCACAATTTAATGTGTTACCCAAATAAAAAATATCATATTTTTAGCAATAATAGGAGGGAACAAGAAAGCTTTGTAAACTATAGGTTAAAATAGCTTGCTTCACTAACCAATATTAAAATGAACTATTGTTGTTAGGTTGAGCAACATAAGCCACACTTAATAGGTCAGACCCGAAGTTGTTTCAAAGGAATGAAAACATACACGTTCAAAAATTACCTAGCCTTCAAACTACAGATAGTTTAAACCATTAACAAATGGTTTATTTTATCTGCAAAACAATATAGAATGATCTTTATAGGAAGCTGACTGGAACAAGGAAGTAAAAATCAACATATTCTAAGTTGTGTCTTTGCCTCATTCAAAAGAGTTCTCTAATTTCTACTAAATCGAACAAAATTGAATTTGCAGTAATGATAATAATTCATAACTATAGCAACAAAAGCTATTTTGAACACTGTTTTGTCCAATATTTAATGAAATTAATGTCGTAGCCAAAAATAATGGGTTGGGGAAAATAATAAACAATTCAAATATACTCAAATCCAGGAGGTTATTTATTTGAAATATAATTTCATACATTTCAACATAGAATTATTATTTTGCTAAATGAAACCACTGACAAAATCTTGCATTAATTCAATTTTAGAGGGGGTGTAACTTTTATCCCTCAAACAGTAAAAATATTGAATCAAAACTATCTGAAGGTACACATCATAGTCCAGTCATTGGCCAGCCCTAGAAGCTGATATGCAGCATTTCAAGAAGCGTTTACCAGGTAACAACCCAGATGTTTGGTTTGCCTTTTTCATGATAGAGAAATCAGTGTGCTTTCTTCATTCAGTGAAGCCTTCAGCGGTCAAGTCTTCATTTGTTGATCTTCAGAGATAAAGAAAAATTGTAATGTTCTATTGTTTGGAATGATTTTTTTATGCAGACAAGTGATATTTTTTCCTATACTTCCAAAACGGTGGAAGGTTTTAAAAAATTAAAAGAACAGAATTGGTTTGCTATTTCCAAGTTGTTTTGTAAGTCAGACGGAGCAGCGGATTCCCAAAAAAGAGAAAGATAAAATTAATTTCCTTACCTGCAATTTTGTCTTCTCTGAACAGGAATCCGCTGCTTCGTCAGGACCCACCCTTTGCTGGTTGCTTTCAGCAACTCTAGTATTCTGGTTTCCTGGATTTGGTCAATGCCATTCTCATCAGAAGTTTTCTAGTTGGAGAGAGAGAGAATTGCAAATGTACTCTGCCTAGTACACATTTTCCTTGAGAATGTATTCCAGCCAGAAGTTTCAAAGTTTAGCTTTCTGGATAACAATAAGACTTCAAAGCTTTGGCAGTTGATTTGAAGAAAGACACATCTGAACTTCTATAAGTGCATGATCAGAGGATGCTATAAGAGCATGTGAGGAACTTGAAAATGATACACCAAACGGAATTTGGAAACGGAGAGGTTTCGCTTTGGAGAAGACATACGTAAAAAAATTCATGCCTACCTATTTATTTTTGCCTGTATCACAAGGAGCAATGAGTTTTGCTATGAAGTTGTCATAAAAACCACCCCTTTCCTGCCTATTGGTAGATTTTTTAAAAGTTGTATCGTAAGACAGTAAGAAGTTTTCTAGATTTCACATGCATCTTAGGGATATTACAACTTCAGTACTACTGATGTGAATTCTGGTTTAGAGACCTGAATAAACATACCTTAAAAGATAAATATGTTATGAAGACCTAAAACAAACTTTTACAAAAAATAAAACTGTTAAAATATGGGCACATAAAAAAGAGAAGGGAGACCAAAAGTTGAACAAAATTAATCAGAAATGTATAAGCTGAAAATAAAAACAGAATACTACCTTTTAACAATATTCACTACCTCCTGGAAAAGTGCTCTCTCATCAGTAGCATATGTGACTTCCAACCCTGAGATACCAGATCTTGCAAGCAAAGGGGCATGTTCTCTATTACCTGAAAAACAAATTGAAATGCATTTATTTCTTAAGAAAAACTTGATCATTTCAGTTTTGACAGTGAGCAGTACAAATTGTGCTCCAGGCACTCCCCCTTCATCCACCTGCTGCAGACAAAGCATGAACAATAGCAATAGCAGTTAGACTTATATACCGCTTCATAGGGCTTTCAGCCCTCTCTAAGCGGTTTACAGAGTCAACATATTGCCCCCAACAACAANGCCTCAGTTGAGTGAATCACTGCAATTAAGTTAGTAACATAGTTAAGTGAATCTGGCTCTCCTTTGAATTTGCTTGTTAGAATGTTGCAAAAGGTGATTACATGACACCAGGACACTGCAACCATCATAAATATGAATCAGATACCTAGTGCCTGAATTTTGATTGTTGTGTCACCATGGGGATACTGCAACGATCATGTGAAAAACGGTCATAAGTCACTTTTTAAAGTGCCGTCATAACTTTGAATGGTCACTAAATGAACTGTTGTAAATCAAGAACTACCTGTATTGTCATTATTTGTCAAATAATTGGATTGGGACTCAAGTGAAGATGACAAATTAATTTGGAACCTGGAGTTTTTGAATTCTAAGAAATGCTCCGGCCAGACTAAAGCCATCATGGAGCTGGAGAGTGTTGAATCTTTTTTTAATAAAATGGATTGAATTTATAGTTAAAAGGAAAAAAGTACACAGTGTTATCACTGAATTCATTAATTTCATAGATTTCAATATCTGAATTTATAACTTGGTCTAAAAAACATTCTGTTTTATTACTCAAGACAGCATGTTTTTTCAAAAAATTATTATGAGTTTTTATTCAGAGAAACCAGTTTTATAAGATCAAAAACATTAAATATCTTATTTTAGGTTATGCTATAAAATAGAGTAATTTTTACAGCTATTAAACTTCATTTTAATGTGTTAGTATTCTACAAATTAGTTTCCACAGAAACTGAGTAATCAAAGGTAAATTTATATGCATTTCACAGTTGGAAAAGTGAAGCTCACAGTTATTTGCAATGATTATTTTCTTTAAAAAATATTCAGAAAAATTTGACTTGCTTTTCTTTACATTGATAGATCATTATATTGTTTAACTTATTTTGTACCTTTCCCCTAAAAATAAAAAAGGCAAGTAGCTTTGTGTTAGTATTTGAAATATGCCAATGTAGATTGTTAGCCATGGCAAACTAGATGTATATAACATTTTGGTTTCTAATGAATAAAAAGAGTCTGAAAGATTTAATTCTCATAAATAATGTATTCAGATGAATGCTGGTAAGATTCCTAATGGTCTTAGTTCAAATAAAATGAAAATTTCTATCAATTCTGAGCATGCCTAGAAATCTGTAATGTTCCATTCAGAGAGAAAAAAATTGTTGATCCACATGATAGATGACTATTCTAATGCTAATTAATTACCAATTAAAAATAATCAAGAATCCATTTAACAGAAACATTGGCTAAATATATATATATACATATATCAAAAACTATTTTGCTTACCCTTGCCTTGTGAAGAAATTGATGAATATTTATATTCAGAATAATAATTTCATTCTTATCAAGACATTAATTCTGTGCCTGAATTGTAGCATATCAAAGCGTCTGCTGGGGGATTCATACATAAATGAATGCTTCTTCTTACAAAATATTTTCTCTATATGGGAAATTAGACCTAAAAATATTGACTAGCTCAGTGGGACTACACTATGTGCACTATGTAACATAAAGCAGAGTGTCAAGGATTTTTTTAGTTCAACAAGTTTTTGAAGGCTTTTTTCTACACAAAAATTAGGATAAATGAATTCAGAGGGGCATTTTTGTAAAAAGAAATTTAAAAAAATATCCCTGGATGCTGGAAATTATAGCAGCTTTTATAAAGTATTTTTCTGTGTGTCTTTAGTTACATCTCTTTTGTGTGGAGGTCTCTTTGGTATGTAGAAATGGAGACCTTAATGTAATTGATACAATACAGCTCTCTGGTTCAGAAATCTATCTAGCTGATACACTGAAATAATAGGTGTACTTTGAATAAATAGCAATAATTGGGTGCGTATGTTCAGTAACATTTCAGTTACTTACATTCTAGTTTTGTAACGGCAAAAAGTGTGTGAGTGTGTGTGTGTGTATAACAATATAAAACAATATGAACTCTTTATTATCAGCTTTTCTTCAATGTAGTCATAAAAATAGAAGATGATGTCTTCCACAGTTAAAAGTATGGCATCTATTACTGCCCTAATGTTTATGATAGATATTACTAATTGGATAGATAATATTTTTGTGCACATTTCCAAATTCAAATCCAGTATTTTCAATAAAATAAAATTTATAGCATGCACTTTCTTCCAGAAGTTCAAGGCAGTCTACATAAATTATTTCTTACAATTTTTCCCAATGATCTCAAATCATCATGGTTTAGAGTGGAATTGAATCTGGTATTCCTTGGTGCCAATCAACCTTTCAACAAATATATTAGACCAGTGATGGCTAATTTTTTTCTAAAGGCGTGCCAAAATTGTGCATGTGTGCCCCACCCACCTGCACATATGTGTGCGCCCCTCTGCGCATGAGCACATGACTCTCCATGGGGGGATTTATACCCTCCCCAGGCTCTGGAGGATTTTCTGAAGCCTGAGGAGGGCAAAAACGGCCTCCCAGAAGGCGAAAACAGATTGTTTCCAAATTTCTCACCCTCTGGAGCCTGGGGAGGGCAAAAAATGGGCCCAATGGAAGTTTGGAAATGATAAAGTTTCCGCCTTCTGGATGGCCTCCGGGGGAGGCCATTTTCATCCTCTCCAGGCTTCAGGAAAGCCCCCGGCGCCTAGGGAGGGTGAAAAACAGCCCAATAGGAAGTTCAGGCCCGTTGGGCCTTTTTTTTTCGCCCTCTCTAGACTCCGAAGGCTTTCCTGAAACCTGGGGAGGGTGACCTCCCCCGGCCCTCCGGAAGGCCAAAAATCAGCTGGCGCACCGGAGCTGAGGGCGCCACGTACCATCATGTACGAGACTGTTTCTCCAATTATGTTGTACCAATCATATAAAAGATTCCTAACTGACATGTTGATGAGCCATAGTCTAAATGAGTAAATAAGACTGATATATATAAGTAAATAAACAGTTAAAGTAAAATAGTTTTACTTATTTGTTTGCAAACTTTGCCAAAATTTCACTAAGACACAGGTCAGAAGAAGTTTATATGAAATTTAAATCATGTCATACAGATTTGTCCAACTTTATTATTTGAAAATCTTATCTGCATTAATGTGATGATGGATTCACTGAATTATTTCAACATCCTTATAAGACAAGCAAAGTTCCCATTAAATTTTAATAGAATTTAAAATTAAGATATGTAACTTGTTTGACTATAAGATATGTAACTTGTTTGACTACAGAAATGCTACATGTTTATTGCTAATATTATTTCACATTAAAAAGGTCACTACTGAAGTAGCTATTAGCTTTTAAATTCCATTTTCAGTTCTACTTGGTACAGAATTCACAGAAACTGAGTTTACAAACTAAAAACCTTCATGGAGAAAGTCACTGCAGTTTAACTAAATAACTTAACTTAACTAAATGGACTCAAATGTCAATACACCAATGCACAGAGTATTAGAAATAAACAGGGTGAATTAGAAATTCAAGTAAACGAGGGCAAATATGATATTGTTGCCATTACAGAAACCTGGTGGGACGAAACCCACAATTGGAACATACAGCTAGAAGGATTTAAGTTATTTAAAAGAAATAGACCAAATAAAAGGGAGGGAAATTTCTTTCTCAGAAATTCTAAGATATTTATTTAAAGTAGGATGTAGGTCTTAGAAATAGAAATAGACCAAATAAAAGAGTATGTGGAGTTGCACTATATATAAGAAATAACTATATCTCTACAGAAATAGAGCACAACAATGATGAGAACTATCTTGAATGCATTTGGGTCAATATTAAAGGGAGGGGGGAATGACATTGCCATAGGTCTATACTACAGGCCATCCAACCAAGCAGAGGAAGAAGATGAACGTTTTGCTAGTAGGCTAACCAAGATATGTAGGAAGCACACTACAATAGTAATGGGGGATTTTAACTACCCTGACATCAACTGGGAAACAAACTCTACACCAAGTGGAAGATCCAACAGGTTCCTAACAAACCTAGCAGACAACTTTGTCTCCCAAAAGGTAGAGAAGGGAACAATGGGATCAGCCATAGTGGACTTAATTCTCACTAACATAGAGGAAATGATAGAAGATGTTGAAGTTATAGTAACCTTGGGGGCAAAC